TTCCTTCTTTCTATCATCCATCTACGTGTCTTCTCTATAATCTTTCCTCTTCCTTTCCTTCCCTTCCATCATTTTTCTTCCTTCTTTCTATCATCCGTCTATATCCGTCTCCCGTATAATCTTTCTCCTCCCTCTCTCCCTTCTCCTCCCTTCCTTCTGTGCAACCCATCCATCCATTTCTTTCCTCCATCTTCCTATCACTTCTGTCCATCCATCCTCTATCTCCATCTATCTCTCTGGACTTTGGCTTTCAGTGCTAACCACCGCACAGCTACGTGTTTGTTTGTTTGTTTGTTTGACTGGGAAGAGAGAGAGAGAGCGAGAAGCCGGCTGGATCCTTGACGTACCCGGGCAACTTCGACCCATCGCTCCACCACTTTGGCTCTCTGCTGGGGCTTCAGCATCCTGTCCCCGAGGCAGGTGGCAATGACGCAATTGGTGACGCTGTTGAACTGGGAGACAGTGGCCCGGATGCTGGGCGCCAAGTGTTCCTTCCCCTTCTTGTCCCGCTGAGACCAGATGCACCCGAGACAGTGATAAGGCACCACTTTCTTGAAGAGTTCCTGCGGTGGACAAAAGGTGAGGGAATCCATCCAGTGGGTAAAAAAGGCCCGGACGTGACGGAAAGCGAGGATGGGCCAAAGGCAGCAGGGGTGACGTCCCACACCAGGGGGGAAGAGAAGAACTCTGGGGATTGATTTGGGTGGGGGAAACCTCACTGGGTTTTCCCCAGACGCGCCAATATGACATGCTTAATAAATCTGTACTTTTGAGGAGCATGCCTGCCTTGGAGTTTTCATTCCATTTGGGGGTATCAACTGGAACCCTGACAGGAGGCCCAGCTAAACTTACAGCATCCATCAGGGTGAACTGCTCGGCCGCCATCTCCGGAGAAAAGGACAGGAATTCCAGCTTGCCTTCGCTCAGGCCATTTTCCTCCTCTAACCTCAGGGGGCAGCTGGGGTGATCTACAGCAAGGCAACAAGCAACATCCGTTTTCACACAACCTCCTTACCCGGGAGTCCTTCCATACATCCATTTCCTAGGGTGAGAGGCAGGAGACGGATGTCACCCAGGCAGTGCCAGACATGTGAATTCCCCATAAATCCTTTGGGAGTTTTGGAAGTTTGGCTCGAATCTCACGATTTCATTGGGGTGACTGCCGGGAACCCTGACAATGGCAAGGCCGAGAGGTTGGGTTCGTGCAAGCCGTAGGGAAACGAACCCAGGGTTTGGGGAAAGTTGTTCTAACGCCGCTCACCTTCCGTTTCGGCCTCGGATC